TTAATATCGACCACTTAAAGCATTTTAGACAGTTTTTTTTAGTTTATTTATTTATTTATTTTATTTATTTATTTTTTAAATTTTTTTTTCAACGTTTATTTATTTTTGGGACAGAGAGAGACAGAGCATGAACGGGCGAGGGGCAGAGAGAGAGGGAGACACAGAATCAGAAACAGGCTCCAGTCTCCGAGCCATCAGCCCAGAGCCTGACGCGGGGCTCAAACTCACAGACCGCGAGATCGTGACCTGGCTGAAGTCGGACGCTTAACCGACTGCGCCACCCAGGCGGCCCAGTTTATTTATTTATTTATTTGAGAGAGAGAGAGAGAGAGAAAGAGAGAGAACAAGCAAGTGAGGAAGGGCAGAGAGAGAGGGAGGGAGAGAATCCCAAGCAGCCTCTGCACTGACACCACAGAGCCTGACTCGGGGTTCAATCTCACGACCCTGAGATCACGGGCTGAGCTGAAATCGAGAGTCCGATGCTAAAGTCTAAAGCTTTCTGGGCTTTAGAACCATTGCCCATGGACTTTGGAGATGTCTGGAAAGCTGGGCTCAGGCTGCCAACTTGCCCAGAAAGAAGACCAACCCCACCCCCAGGCCCAGACACCAGCCCCTCCCCAACCCCCTCCCCCCACTGCCCATTGTTCCATGGCTTTGTTGTTACATGTGTGCATTTAAGACGCCAAGTTCCTGAAAGCAAGAATCATACACTCTCATTTTGATTCCTTTCTTCCCTCCGCTGCCCTTTATGAACTGGACGTAAATTCTAACCGAGCTGGAGGGTCACCATCCCCCAGAAAAAGCCCTGCCGGGTCTGTCCCTTATTCTCCCTTCCAGCTCTGCATCCTTCGGGGCTCCGCACAGACTCTCTGTTCTCTTGGAAACAGTCCCTTCACTCTGGCCAAGAGCTGTATTTCCACAGCCCGTGAACATTCTCTGTGGCTGTTGACAGCGTGTGATGCTTTCACTTTCCTACCTGCGATGACTCCCACCCCAGCTCTCCCTGCTGTGGGTCCTGTGGGGCAGGGACGGCTCCCGTCCGTCTTTGCGATGCTCGGGAGACAAGCACGGGGCCAGTTCAGAAACTCCCGTGTTTCCTGAGTCAGTCCCTTTCTCCGTTTAGAAATTAGGGGAGGGATATGATAACAGATCAAGTGACAGGAATGTCTGGAGAGCCTACCATGAATGAAAAAAAGATGTCTACCAGGAGGCCAGAGATGGCTTATGAAAGGTGACAACTTGGCCATGTTAGGTACTTTTTCTGCTTATGCAATGTTGGCATGCCTCCTGAGCCATATGCCTGGAAGGCTTGCACGGATGGAATGGTGGCCAGGACACGTCTGGCCTGGGGACGAGTCTGCCTTCCAGGCGTCTCTCTCCAGATGGGGCACAGCGGCTAACTAATGTCTCTGTTCCTTCCTTTCTTTCTTTTTTAAAATATAATTTATTGTCAAGGTAGCTAACATACAGTGCATAGAGTGTGCTCTTGGCTTCAGGAGTGGATACCCGTGATTCATCACTGACATACAACACCCAGGGCTCATCCCGACAAGTGCCCTCCTCAATGCCCATCACCCACTTTCCCGGCCCCCCCCCCCCCGCCATCAACCCTCAGTTTGTTCTCTGTGTTTAAGAGTCTCTTTGGGTTTGCCTCCCTCTACAACCCAGCAATAGCACGGCTAGGAGTTTACCCAAGGGCTCCAGGAGTGCTGATGCATAGGGCACGTGCACCCCAATGTCTCTAGCAGCACTTTCAACAATAGCCAAATGATGGAAAGAGCCTACATGTCCATCAACTGACGAATGGATAAAGATGTGGTTTACATATACAATGGAATACTACCTGGCAATGAGAAAGAATGAAATCCTGCCATTTGCAGCAACGTGGATGGAACTGGGGGGTATTAGGCTGAGTGAAATAAGTCAGGCAGAGAAAGACAGAAAGACAGATATCATATGTTCTCATTCATATGTGGAATTTGAGAAACTTAACAGAAGACCATGGGGAAAGGGAAGGGGAAAAAGAGTCCCTTTCTTACTCCGGTTGGGAAATTAGGGTTCAGATAATTAACTTCTGGTGCTGCTTAGACCTGTCAGACGAGGGGTCGTGTGAGCAGACTGAGTTTGCTTTTCCTGGTCTGGCATGTTCAGAAAACCTCTATTGCTGGCCAACTTGGCAGGTGCTCTGGAACAGAAGCGCTGGCTGCTAAGTGACAAATAGAACCTTCTATGGGTATGGTGTTGCCAACTGGCTCTCTTCCTGGCAGGTCCTCCCAGGGAGCACATCTGTCCTCTGGGGCGAGATCTGGGGAGGGCTCTGGTGGCGAGAATGCCCCTAGGGCAGAACGGAAAGGATTGAGACTGTTCTGTATGTGACACCTCCTATTCCTCTTGTCACCTTTCCTGGAGTCCTCTAGGGTTAGAGGCTACAATGGGCGTATCCAGTCCAGTGGGTCATGGGAAGTGGTTACACTGGGAAGGATGCCCCATGTCATTCACATGACCCACTCTGAGCATGCTAGGGGAGACCTGAGCCAGCCGTCCACGCTTTCTTTGTTGTCACCATTGCTGGTACCCAGCATGACCCACAGGTGACTGCTGCCTCCCACTGTGGGGTCATCAGGACTCTAAACAGTTGAGTCACCCCTGTCCACCTTGAATAGTCAAAGGGACTGACTGGTGTACTGGAAACTCAGTCCTGGCCTCCGTGCAAGACGGAATAATGGTCCCCAAAGTTGTCCACACCCTAATCCCTGGAACCTGTGAGTGAATATGTTACCTTATACTGCATGGAGCATTTTGCATGCCTGGGAGAGCCCAGGTCACAAAGGAAGTAGGAGAGGTTGAGAGGTGACCACAGAAGCAGGGGCCAGAGTGACGTGCATCATGGTGCAGGCAATGGACTCAGCCTCTAGAAGCTGGAAAAGGCAAGAAAGCAGATGGGCCCCTTGATCTTCTAAAAGGAATGCAGTCCTGATAACACTTTGATTTGGGGCCAGCGAGAGCCATGTGAGAATCCTGACATCCAGAACTACAAGGAGATAAATTGTGTTGATTTAAGCCACCGAGTTTGTGGTAATTTGTTACAGCAGCGATAGGAAACTAATACGGCCGTGTTGGGAGGTCGCTGCCCTCTGCTGCCTCAGGCTGGCAGCCGTCCTGTTTTTATCTACTCTTGAGGGCCGAAGAACAAGGGAGTGCTGGTGACACAATGGGCTCTCCTGTTGCCACCTTATGTTCTGAAGGAGGAGGCGCTGGGCTTTGAAAACCCCAGGACACAGGGAAGACATCCATTTGTGGCAACACCCTGCCACCCAATATGGCGGAGAGATTCCACCCCAAGTCGGTGTCCCCCCTGCCGTGTGCCCTGCCGCGAGCCGCCCAGACTCTTCCTTTGTTCTCTGCTCCCACCTGCCCCCCCGGGAACGTCTCTTGGTTACAGTGCTTTCCTCAGCTGCGTCCGCCCCGCTCCCGTCCGTGGAACTTCAGCTTCGGGTGACTCAGATGCAGATCTGGTTCCACACCCGCCACGGTGGCTCCTGAAGGACAGGGGAAGAGCTTGCTGTGGTGTGCCCTCCAGGGCCACACTTGGACCATCACTCCGATGCACGGTGGCTTTGCGACCCTCCTTCCTGCCACTCACGTTCAAGTCCACATCTTTGCGTAACCTCATGTCACGTTCCAGGGTCAACTTCTCTTCGCTCTCGTACCAGTCCCTGAACGCCGTCATTCTTGCTGTCTTGTGGGGCAATTCTATGGGCATTCTGCATGATAATCCCTGCAGCCCTTGTCTTCCGAGGCTAGTTCTCTTATATCCCGTTCCTCCAGCCCTAGTAGAGTCCAGAAAACTGCCCACCTTCCCCGTCTCCTTTACAGCTATGCCACCATCCGATTTCCCCTGCCACTTTCTATGTCTGCCCCGGGATTAGCTATGGACTGGATACATCAGGCCGGCCCAGTCCAAAGCAAAACCACATCACTCGTTTTAACAGAGAAAGTCTTATACGAAGAATTGCTCATTAGTTACCAAAGAACCAAAAAGGCCAGAATAAAATACACAGGCCATTTAAATTTTTTTTTTCATGTTTATTTATTTATTTTGAGAGAGAGAGCGAGCATGTGAGCACATGACTGGGGAAGGGGCAGAGGAGAGGGAGAGAGAATCCCAACAGGGTCCACGCTGTTAGCACACAGCCGGATGCAGGGCTGTATTCCACACCCCCGGATCATGACCGGAGCCCAAACCAAGAGTCAGACGCTCACCCAGGAGCCCCCAAGATACGCAGATCTTAAGAAGTGGCAACTAGCATCCTTCAGGCTAGGGGGACCGAGGAAAGAAGTGGTCGTTGTCTCTGAGTTAAAGCAGGTTTCTGTGAAGGGGGCACTGCTCGACTGAGGCCAGAGTCTCTGAACTTGGAGGAGGGGGTCTGGGATGCTGGGGCCCAGACTTCGGGGGAGGGGACCCTGGCCAGTTGGTGCTGGCATCACTGAGTCTGCTTCTGCAAGCAAGGGCTGGGCCAAGTTACACTTCAGTCGCAGATCAACGGCGGATACTTTTTTGGTATATCTCATGCAAGACTGGGCACATGCTTACACTAAACACATACCTGTTATTGAGCTGAAATTCTCGCCGGGTGCCCCGTATCTTACTGGTCAACCGTCCTCGCTCCTGCAGCACTCCCCCAGCCTCCCTCCTGCACCCCTACTGCCAGACCACGGCAGTAGGCAGCCGTGAGCAGAGCAGGAAACACGGTCCTCAGAGGGCTGCTGCAGCATCCTGAGGACAATCACAGAGCTTCACGACTGGCACGGCGAGGTATTGTCACCTCAGCTCCTGCCTCCTGCAAAGTCTCTTGGACACTTATTTGACTGCTGGTAGCCATAGGCCAACTGTTGCTTGTGTGGACAGTTAACACTGGGAAAGTCTAAAGATGGCAGAAATCGGAAGCTACAAATGACACACACAGACCCTCTCCCGGGGCCTTCTCTCAGACCCGCCTTCTTCCTGTGCCTCGGAACACGTGCCAGGCTCTCGCTCTCCCGTGACTTTGCTTCCTCTTCTCTTTCTGCCTTGGCCTTGAGGAGCCATGAGCAGAACGGGATGATGGGAAGCGTAGGATGATCTGGGAGCCCAGACACACGTGCGGAAGTGCCCGCGCCCTTGGTGAAATGGCACCAACATCTCCGCTTTTATTTTCTTTTCTGTCCTGGAAACAAACAAACAAACAAACAAACAAAAAAATATATATATATATATATGTATATATATATACACGACTTTTCCTTGTCCTCTGTCACAGAATGAGTAACATTCTGTAAACAAACACGAACAGACAGGCACCTTAACTTACGCGGCTGATTTCACAGCTCTTGGCGGGTCTCTGACTTTTCCAATAGCTACGCGAGGTCCCCCAGGATGCTGTTGGAGGAAAGTCAAGATGTGCTGGGTCACTTGCCTCGGTGGCTCCATTAATCCCCTTCCCCTCCAGGGTCCCTCCTTCAGTACCTTTGTGTTCAAGGGTCTGCTCACCTGACATCCATCCACCCGCTTTGACCATCTTAACGTTTCATTTCAACGCCAGCCCCATCCCTACTCTTCCGAAAGGAAAACACACTCTCGCCCAAACAGATAAGCTTGTTTTATTGAGAAGTGCATACTTAGGGGATTACAGTCATCCCTTCATAACAGCTGAATGTGAGTAAGCCCTCGAATGGCCAGATAATTCTCCCGGAGATCTTATCAATGTACTATTCGTTTTCCAAAATGGAAGCAGCTTCTCTGTTTCTGGTTTTATGTGCGTCCTGTAGAAAGTTCAAGAAAAAAAATATATACAGATTAAATTACAGCTATGGCAACAGATCACCCCAGCGAAAGTCACAATTTAAAGTTAGGAATACATAAAAAAGAGGTTAGAGTGGGAGAGAACCAAAGCATAAGAGACTCTTAAAAACCGAGAACAAACTGAGGGTTGACGGGGGGTGGCAGGGAGGGGGGGATGGGTGATGGGTATTGAGGAGGCCACCTTTTGGGATGAGCACTGGGTGTTGCATGGAAACCAATTTGACAATAAATTTCATATATTGAAAAAAAAAAGACTTAAAAGAAAATAAAGTTGGGAATACCGCTTTCCAGATATTTCACCAGGCACATTTACATAGCACCCCGTACATTCCTTCTGTTGTGATTTTATTTAAAAAAAAAAATAGCGTATTACTCATGTTAGCTAAGTTTTACTGCAGCAATAAATTAACTCTGGATTCTCAGTGGCTTAATAAAACAAAGATTTATTCCTCATGCTTTTCCAACGCAGATTGGCAGCGGCTCTGCTCTGCTCAGCCATTCTCGGAGCCAAGCTACCGGAGACTCTTGTCTTGTGACCACACTGTCTGGACCGCGTGGCCTTCTCGGTTGCTGCGGGAGGGGGTAGAGGGACTGGACAGTCAGGCATTGGCGTTTTCCTGCCTCGGCCCAGAAATGAAACAAGTCATTCCTGTACGTGTTTTGTTGGCCAGAACTAGTCCTATGATTCCACTTAACTTCAATGAAACTGAAAAGTATGACTTTCCACCCGCCCAGAAGAGGAGGAAGGCCACATACTGGTGAATGCTGGCGATGTCCCCGACTCATGGGCTCGTACTATACGTATTAATTTATAATCTACTGTTTTCAGCCAACGGTTTGTCACGGGCATCTTTCCACAGGTCCTTGTCATTGTTAGTGGCTGCACAGTATGTTATGGTGAGATTACATCAGCTCTTATTGCCATGACCCCGTATTAATGGTTGACTATTAGGTTGGTTTTAATTTTTCCCTAGTAAAAACAATGTTGGAAGGAGCATTCTTCTACAGTCTGTGTGCATTTGCTGGGTTCTGTTGCCAGGCTGAACTCTCCAAAATGAAAGTTCCTGGTCAAGAAATATGCACATTTTAAGATGATTTGCTACATCTTGACCAAGAGTTTTTCAGAAAAGATGAATCCATTAAGTCCTGAGAATAATGATCAAAGTGCTGATGTCCCCAGATTGTTTCCAGGGCTAGAGAGTAAAATTCTCTGCTAATACAATCAACCAAAATGGTATTTGATTTGAAATATGCTATTTCTTTGCTGCGAATGAGAACAACATTGTTTTCATGCATTTGTTAGGGCTTCGCGTAACTTCTTTGGTGAATTACCCCATTACCCTCTTAATCCTGTGAGTCTCTTTTTGCTTATTAATTATTGGGAGCTCTTTACATATTCATTAGATTATCAACCTTTGAGAAAATACATTACAAATATTTTCTCAACATTTTATTTTTGTCTTGTAACTTTTTATGGGATTTAAAACTTATAAACACTTATTACACAATCTTTCTCTCCATCCCCCCGATTTGAAATGCTTCTCATCTGTACACTGGAGGTTTGCATATATTCTGGACCAAGTGTGTGTTTTCTGTTGCCAGCCTCACACTGTTGCTTTCTATTATAATGTGGTTTAAAATCGACCAGGGAACATTCCTCTTTCTTACTCTTCCTTTCCAAAAACGTCTTGACTATTCCAGTGCATTTACTCTTTCAGATCAATGGTTCTTAAAATTTCTGGTTTCAAGACTCCTTTGCATTTTTGAGCCTTCGTGAAGACTTCAAGGAAGTTTTGCTTTATGTGTGTTCTACCTACTGATATTCCCCTATTGGAAATTAATACTGAGAACTATTTGAAATATTTCGTTACCAAATCATTGAAAAATAAACGCCATGTAACTATTACATGTTAACACGAATGATACATTTTCTATAAAAAAGGGCTCCATTTTCCAAAATGAATTATTGAAAAGGAGAGAGGTATTGTTTTACATTTTTGCAAGCCTCAATCAGTCTCTGTCTCTCTCTCTCTCTCTCTCTCTCTCTCTCTCTCTCTCTCTCTTTTCCCTCTTTGGTGGTATAGCCCTGGATACACAGTGGGGTCAGGGGGAAAGGGTACAGGACTCATGTGATCCACTTGGGTACCTTCTGGTGCTACCTTGACCAGTTGTGACTGTGGACAAATACGGGCAGCCACCCCGTCTGAGAAGTGTGATTATCGAGGGCTCAGACTTCTCAGGAGCAGGGGGTTGGGTCACTGCACTAGACAAGTCATGGAGACCAACGGAGGTGATATCTGAGGGCAAAGTCTCCCGAGAAGTGAGAGAACAAGTGTTAGGGCCTCGACCCCACGACCCTGGGATCATGACCTGAGCCGAAATCAAGAATCGGATGCTCAACTGAGCCACCCAGGTGCCCCTAGAATTTGTGTGTTTGTTTGTTTTTTTAAATCAAATTCTAAAAGTTAATTCTGCTGTAAATTTGGATGGAATGGACTTAACTGGGCAGAGAATTAATTACTGACTGAGGCTTTATATCTTAAATTTCTTTTATGTCCTTTAGCAAATTTTTATAATGTTTTCTATGACATGTCCTCACGTTTTGTTAAGTGTATTACGAGGTATTTTATATTTTTGTTATGTCTCAAGACTCTTCTCTCACTTTTTCAAATAAATTCTCTTTAGGTGAGCTTATCCATTGGAACAGCCTCAATTAAAAAAAATATATTTATATATATGTATATGTATATTTATATTTATGTATATATTAAAAAAATATATATATATATATATTTGGATGATTCCAAAACCTGTGTCTCTCTATGCCTGATCATTTCCTGAGCTTCTCACACATATATCCGACCCTCTGTTTAATTTTGTTCTCATAATAAAGAATTCTAATATTACAGGAAAGAGCACATTCATCTCAGGTAAAGCAGAAGACTGACTCTGGCAAAATCCATTGGTTTTCATGAGAATGTGATTTCCACTAAGTGGTCCCCAACACGTTCTGCACCGCCTACAGGATAAAGCCAAGCTCTTTGCTGTGACCCTTGAGACCCCTTCACCTACCAGCCCCTCCCCGGCTCCTCTCCTGGACAGCCAGAGCCCAAGACATGTCAAACTTCCAGACCACGCCAGCCCGTCCTCCATGTTTTTTCTCCTCAGCTCAAATGCTGTCCAATCTTCAAATCTTTCTCAGCAACCCCCAAGCTCCAGGCAGAGTTGGTTGTCATTGTTTCTGGGTACAGGGTCCCTTGGTACGCACCTGTCAGAACAAGTATCTCACTGCGTTGCACTCAGTTTATGTGTCTGTCCATTTTTCTAGACTGCAAGCTCTTTGGGACCATGCTCATTCTTGTGATTCTCTCACTATCCCTGGTATCTGGCACACAGTGGACCCCAACTGTTGAATTGATCACTGAGTGAATGAATGAATGAATGAATCAATGAAACAGCATTTGCATGCTGAACTTTCAAACTGAACCTATAGTGTGATGGGAAATATCACACACATGAATGGGAAAAAAATGGCCTCAGGCGTCCAGGTTTCATCGAACATCTCATGCAGTTTGACTTGTACTGATTACAGCTTCGGAGAACGCAGAGCCAAGGTGAGCTTTAGAAAACCGCGGGCCGTAACTAAGGCAGCGGATGACCTCTTTTGGGTGGGTGGGTGGCAGGTGAGCGTCCCTGTCCTCAGCCTGCTGTGCCCCAAAAAGTGCCATCACATCAGCCCAGGGACGGCGTTAGCCTTTTCAAACTTGCAACAAGGCAGCTCCCAGCGATCAGATTTTAACAGGCGATGACTCTCTGGATGGTGCTTGTGCCGCACTGAGTGTGTGGCAGTTATGAGCTCTATAGGATCCTATAGGATCAGACCGCTGCTTGTGTTATGTTCCGATTGGAAACCCAGTCACAGGGAGGCCTTAACGTGGCTCCCCATCCTGGGAAAGGCCTTCCCTTTCCCCAGGGCCGTGCTCACCATGATCCTGTCCAGCTGCCTCTGCCGGGAACCTATGGCCCAGGATTTCCCCCTTCGCCTCCTGCCCCTTGACTCCTTCTGTGCTCTGGTGCTGACCCGCAATCTTTCCTGGGGTTGTATCATATCAAGGTCAACCTCAGCTCTCCCTTGGTCAGAAGCTCCGGGCTTTTCTGCGTCCGAACTCTGGCAGCAAAGCACCATCCAGTGGGGGTTATGCTTTCAGGGGCTGGGAGGTGGCTTCAGTGGGGAAGCCCCACGGAGCCCACAGAAAAGTAAGCACGCAGAGCAGGGCGAGGAGAGGTAGACAACAGGGGCCGTGTGGGAGCAGGAGGTGCATCCAGTAAGGAGGCCAGGAATATGTGGAGTCTGGACGTCCTGGGACTGCGTTCAGAGATGGAATTTGGAAAGGGATACATTTTAGAATGCATGTTCAGGGGTTGAACTTAGGAACCCAACAAATAAAAATTAAATCGAGGGGCACCTGGGTGGCTCAGTCGGTTGGGCGTCCGACTTCGGCTCTGGTCACGATCTCACGGCTCATGGGTTCGAGCCCCACATCGGGCTCTGTGCCGACGGCTCAGAGCCTGGAGCCTGCTTCGGATTCTGGGTCTCCCTCTCTCTCTGTGTTCTTCCCCTGCTCGCACTCTGTCTCTCAAAAATAAATAAAGATGAAAAAAAAAAACCTTAAAAAAATCAAATCGAATCTGGACAAGACACGTGGGATAACCTTAGGTAGGAAACGTAGGCCACAGAGTCGCTGGGATTTTAGGGCCCAAATTCCCGAGGTACGCCTCTTTGCTCTCTCCCTCTGTCTCTTCCTTCTTTCCTTATTTACACAGCGGCTGAGGCCCGCTGTGTGCCACACGCTGGTCTGTGCAAGACGGGCCATGCAGCTCAGCACTAGTCCTGCCACCCAGGCCTGTCAAAGTGCCTGCATTTTATGTCTGTGAAGCTCCCAGACTCTCTGAGGTTGGACTTTTTTTTCAGTGCCTTGGGAAAGGAAACACTTAAGGCTCGCCAACTTCTTCACCGGGTATCTGTGCAGAGCCTGAAGGTTACTGCTGTTATAGGCAGTATGGCGACCGTGGAGATGTCCCGCTTGATACTCTGTTAGTGTTTTATGACTGCTATAGCAAATTAACACAAACTTGGCAGCTTCAAGCCACACAAACTTATTATCTTACGGTTCTGAGTATCAGAAGACTAAAAAAGGTATACAGGGCTGGGTTCTTTCTGGAGGCTGTGGAAATGGAGAGAATCTATTTCCTTGTTTTTCCCAGTTTCTAGAAGCCACCTGCTTTCTTTGGCTCATGGCCCCTTCTTTCATTCCCAAGGCAGCCGCATCATAGCATCCTAATCTCTCTCTCACTCTCTCTCTCTCTCTGACCTCTGCTTGCATCATCACATCCTCTCCGGCTCTGACCTTCCTGCCTCCCTCTCATAAGGACCCTTGTGATTACCCAGGACCCACTTGGACAATCCGAGATAACGTCCCCATCTCGAGACCCTTAACTTAGATTTGCGAAGTCTCTTTCAGCATGGAGGAAAACATATTCCCAGGGGATTAGGACGTGTACAGCTGTGGGGGCAGACGGGAGAACATTACTCCCCCCTCCAAGACAGGACTTGGCTGGGCGGAGACTTTGTTGGACCTGTATCACTGGCTCAGACTTTCCTGGCCCAGCCCCGCTTCTCTCATAGGGTGACTGTCCTGTGAAGGTGTCACTCCACCTCCCCACTAATGTCCGCTTTCTGGAAGACTGGAAACGTCACAGCTCACACAGCGTGGACGGCCCTGATGTATGAATAAGCCAACGGAAGCCCACATAGCACGTTCACATTGAAGTTTATCCTTTAATATTGGGTCATTGACGTTGGATGGGGCTGATGTGGTTCCTCTGCGTCCCTTTGCAGATGAATCCTGGGGCGTGTCCAAAGTCTCTCAGCAGAGGAGGAAAGGATGGGGTAGGGCAACCTTCACACCATCTTTGGGGTGCAAAAAAAGGATACCATAAGAACAGAAGATCTCCACCCTTTCCTTAGTCATTATTTTTCATGTGCAAAACTACTCAGAGGCAGCAGCCCTTACGCAGACTGGGGTTCGCAAACTATGTCTACATCCATTACTCCCTAGTTCCCCTACTCTCATCCCCACTTGACTGACAAGGAAAGGGACAAGTGCACGAGTCCCAGAATTAGCGAGGGTGGAGGCAGGGGCGGGGGGCAGGCAGGCATGCCCTCGCGCGGGTCTCCGAGAGCCCAGAGAGCAGAGAGGAGAGGTCTGATCATGTACATTTCATGGAGGAGAAGCATGAGGCTCAGAGATGCTGAGGGAGCCGTCCCGGGCGCCACGGCTGAGATGCCACGCCAAGGCTGGTGTCCCTGCTGATATATGGTGCTGTCACTTAGACAGCGATGCTGCTAATTATGCACTGATAGCTAGTAGTTAATTAGGGAGAATCAGAGCGGGGGCCTGAGAGTTTGGAGAAAAATGGAAATCAGTAAAGAGTAGACCCAGTGCCTTCACTGACTTCGTTTCATGTCTATTTCCCATCCATGTGCCACTCAGCGTGTCTCATATATTTTTAATGAGAACATTCTACTAATGCCAATGGGATTGATTTTTGAGGGAGCATTAGGAGCATAAGACATGGTTGCCGTGTGTCATTGACTAAGACCAATTATCCAACCACGTCTCCTCTGACCTTGACACTGGCCAACAAAAAAGAAACAGGACCCTAGCATGTTTGAGGAACCCGTGTCCCAGAATGGAACGTTCCTTCCAAACGGCCTCGCGTGAAGAGTGGGCCACAGAGCCAGCCCGTGTCTGGATGGAGCGAGGAGTCGGAGGGGCTGCTTGGCCCCACACACTCCTCCCCTCTCCCCTCTGGGCTCAGCATCCTGCAAGGCTCACAGCGCACGCACAGAGCCTCTGAACGGACTCCAGCTCCGGTGATCTTTGTTACTCAGTCTCCTTACCCGTATACTGGGTGTAATTCTCATACTTAATTCGTACGCTTCCAGTGACGATTGAGTGAGTTAGTAAATGGGAAATGCTTAGAGCACTCCCTGGCATGTAATACGAGCTATTGAAGAGCTGGCTAATAGTATTGTGATTGCTGCTGCTGTTTGTGTCACAACTAGAAGAAGGAAAACATTATCAGGTCTCCATCTAGAAGAAGGAAAACATTATCAGATCCAGCAGAAGCATCGTACGGATTCCACATGTGGTGCCTGAGGTGTGTGAGGAAGGCGTCTACTCAGATAATCTTCCGAGACGGGAGCTTATGATGAGGTGTAGAACATCTTCTTCACCAGAATTCTTTGGACCGCCCTCTGTTTGTCCAGAAGCATCAGCGATAACCTCCATCGTGAAGGGTGCCACCCAGTGGGTGCTGGTCTGTTGCCAACCGCCCTCTGTGTTTGCTGGTTCTTTTACCTCTGGGGCATTTGCACCTGTGTGGCGTTGAGCAAAGCTGAGTTGTTGTGGGTGATAAACGCCCGAGGAACTTGAGGTTCCACGGACAAGAGAAAGATGGCAGTAAGGAGGTGTCACCCAGGGAGGTGAGGGGGGTGGCGAGGTGTCGGAAGGAAGAATAGAGCAACGATAAAACATACAGGTAGTGGTGAGCCCAAGGAAGGCTTTGGACAGAATGCTTTCATGTCTAACGTGGGATTCGGAGTGGTTTGAAGTAGAAATTGGGACATAAACCCCCTCCTCTGTCCTTTCTGTGAAGCCACTGATACTAAAATTCATTTAGGGAAAATGCTTGCTTTTAATAGTAATCAAAGAGATGCAGGTGAAAGTAATGATCAATAATATGATCCCATGAAGGACGTAAAAGCAATGGCACGGTCGTGACGAAATGATGACTCCGACACTGCTTGTCCCAAGGTCACGGGGGCACCCCTTCGGGTAATCAGCCATCTATATCAAAGTCATATACACACGTACGTCCTTGAACTCGATTCTATTTCTGGGGTTTCGTCCCAAGGAAATCATTTAGACGAAAAAAAATTCTGAATTCTGGAAGATCTTGAATGTTAATTGCAGAATTAACTTTAATAGGGAAAAAAGAAAAAGACTAGATCTTAGGAAAACAGTTAAGTAAGGAATTTTATAACCGCTCTATGGAAGCTTAGGTGGTCATTAAAATGGTAATTTTTAAAGCAAAGTGGAAAATGCTCATGATAGGACATTAACTATGGAAAAGGCGGACACATCGTTGTATTTATACCTTAATAAGCATGCAAGCTATGTTTGTGCATAACAAGGATTAGACGGGAATACAGACAAATGAAGCTAGTTGATGTGTGGAGGGGTGGCATTGTGTGCCTGGGGGTCACGTTTTTCAGATCCTTTATTCTGGTTCAAGTTTACAGAGCCTGTGTCCCCCGTCCCCAGCAAGGGGCTGGTATAGCACAGAGGGCTCGGGCTATGGTGGGGCTCCAGAGCCAGGGTGAGGGCTGAGATCAGGCAAACATTCCTGGGACGGGATTAAGACGCTCCTTGGCCTCTGTAGCTGGGCCAGTGTGGTTGCAAGGTTGGGGGGGTGGTCAACTCTGCACCATCAGCTTTGAGAATCCAGACAAGGTGAAATACACATGACAATACTCCCAGAGGCAAAGACATGGTTGGGGCCTTTTAGAGGACACCCATCTAATGGGAAGGGCCTGAGCAGGACACAAATCAGGGAGGACTCCATGGTGCTCAGGTCTGAGTTTCCCCAGGTGGGGAAGGGTGGGGGGTGACCCCCTGCCTGGTGGAATTATGGAGGTAAAAGTCGGGTTTCCCTGGCTGCTCTCTGTGTTGTGTCTTTCCCAGGTGAATGGATCCTAGAGTTACCCATGGCGTTGCCACAAGCCCGGAGTCCCTCTACGATAGCTGCAGGTTACCGGGGAGACGGCCAGAGGTTCAAGTGGATGGTGCACTCTCCATGCAAAGGGCGGGACAGCTGACATAAAACAAGGTGGGCTCTTCTGGGACAGACACCTGGGGTCAAAGGCCACTAGGCCGAGGACTTCTAATTCTGAGGAAGAATGTCTGGGGAAGGGAGCAAAAGGGTACTCCAGAAGCAATGGGATGCCAGTGCGGTTATCTCCTCAGAGTCCTATTCAAATGTCCGGAGAGCGGTAGCTGCCATACCTCCCAAAGAGCTTCACTCTTTCCTCTCCGTTTCTTCTTCTTTTTTTAATGTTTATTTATTTTTGAGACAGAGCGGGCATGAGTGGGGGAGGGGCAGGGAGAGAGGGGCACAGAGGATCCGAAGCGGGCTCTGCGCTGACAGCAGAGAGCCCGATGTGGGGCTCGAGCTCACGGACCGCTGGATCACGACCTGAGCCGAAGTTGGACGCTCAACTGAGCGCCACCCAGGCGCCCCTTTCCTCCCCTCTTCTTTCACCTCTTGGGAGGACAAAGGTTGCCCTTTAGGCCACTGGTGGTCAATCAGGGGTGATTTTACCCCTAAGGGATATTTGGAAACGTCTGGAAGCATTTTTGTGTCACAACTGAAAGGGGTGCTACGGGCATCTGGGTTAGGCGGTTGCTGAACATCTTACAACGCCCAGGACAGGACCCCACGGCAGCCCAGAATGTGGGTAGTGCCCAGGATGAGAAGCTCTACTCTACACCCATTCTACTTACTGGGGTGCCCACCACTGGCCACCAGTGGCCAAGCTGGTGCCGATGATGGTGGTGGTGGTGGTGGTGAGGCTGGTGTCATCCCAGACTTTTAACGCACATGTAGTTTGCATACATTTAATTCATCAGATGCTTCCAACCCAACAAGGTGGGCAGAGGTTATCATTCCTATTCTGGAGGTGAGACCGGGTAGGTGGACAGAGGGCAATACTTTGTCCGAGGTCGCACGGAGAGCGTCAGCATCAAGCAGAACTGGTTTCGAAGCCTTGGTGTCTCGTGCCTTCTAATTGTATCCTTTTTCCACTGCACTGGTTGGATTCTGTGACTATAAAAAGAAGGAAAGCCTCACCACCGCTCTGAAAGCCTGAATTTGTCCCAGGCTTTACACATTAGTGCTGGAGCCAGGATTCCTCATTCCCAGACTATTATAAACAAACACACCTACAAGACACACAGAGACTTTTAGGGACTGGCGGGGTGTGTGGTCCTCCTATGACTGACACCATGGTGAAGCTGGGGATTTGGCTGCTTATCTACGTCTCCCGTGTTATCTTAGGTCAGTTAGAAAGCTACATGCCAAGAGCGACACCCGCTAACTTCTCTTTTCCTTGAGGTAGATGCTCCATAGTAACTATTGGTAACTACAAGTTTTATCGACTTTTTCCTCAGAGCTAAGTATGAATTAAGTGTAAGCTTCCTTGGTATTTTCTTTATCCCCACCCGCCTCCCCCCCACTCCCCACCGTCCTAAAAAAGACTCGACTGAGTCCTGGGCATTTGCATGGAATTGATATCCACAAGTTTTCACGACGCCTCACACCCTCAGTTGTGTTTTTCCTGAAAACCACTAAGCAGGATGCCCCCAGCCCTCCTTGTGCAGGTGCATCGCCCTCCCTTCCTTTAAGAGTGTCACCGACAAAGGTTGGAAACCCAACTGCTTAATAACTGGCTGGAATATAAAGTCGGCATTATAAAATTGGCAGAGCTAGAATCATCAAGAATGGCTTCCAAATTGCTGGCCCAGATGGCTAAGTTAAACCATCCAGCGTTTTAGAGCCAGAGCATAGAGGAGTCTGAGCGGGACACGGTGGTAGGAACAGGCGAAGGCTGGCTCAGTGATTCTGGGGGAGCCGTGGTGCTCGGGGTGTGGAATACTCCTCTGAGGATTGTCTAACAGTGTCTTTTTTTTTTTTTTTAATTTTTTTTCAACGTTTATTTATTTTTGGGACAGAGAGAGACAGAGCATGAACGGGGGAGGGGCAGACAGAGAGGGAGACACAGAATCGGAAACAGGCTCCAGGCTCTGAGCCATCAGCCCAGAGCCCGACGCGGGGCTCGAACTCACGGACCGCGAGATCGTGACCTGGCTGAAGTCGGACGCTTAACCGACCGCGCCACCCAGGCGCCCCCTAACAGTGTCTTTTTAAGAAATTGATACAGGGGAGCTTGGGTGGCTCAGTCGGTTGAACGTCCGACTCTTGGTTTCAACTCGGGTCGTGATCCTGGGGTCATGAGATAGAGCCCCATGTTGGGCTCTGTGCTGACCGTGTGGAGCCTGCTTAGGATTCTCTCTCTCTCTCTCTCTCTCTCTCTCTCTCTCTCACTCTCTCCCTCTCCCTCTCTCACCCTCTCCCTTCCCCTCTCCTGCACACACGCATGGGCACATGCACTCTCTCTCTCTCCGTCTCTCAAAAATTTTAAAAATTGATCTATAATTGACATATGACATTAAGTGAGCTTAAGATCTACAAAATGATGGTGCAATGTGATTGCCACTGTAATTAGGCTCCACATTCTTGCCAACACGTGTTATCTTTTGTCTTCTTGATGATAGGCATTGTACCAGGTGTGAGGGGACGTCTCATGGTGGTTTTGATTTGCATTTCCCTGATGTTCGTGATCACGATCATCTTTTGGTGAGCCCGTTGGCCATTTGTACATCTTCTTCGGAGAAATGTCTGTTCAGTCCCTTTGTCCATTTTGTTTAACGGAATTGTTTGTGTTTTTGTTACTAGGTTGTATGAGTTCTTTATATATTTTGGATATTCACTCTTTTTTAAAGATTTTTTTAAAAATGTTTATTTATTTTTGAGAGAGAGAAAGAGACAGACCACAAACGGAGGAGGGGCAGAGGGAGAGAGGGAAACGCAGAATCCAAAAGAGGCTCCAGGCTCTGAGCTGTCAGCACAGAGCCCGATGTGGGGCTCGAACTCCCAGATTGCGAGATCATGACCTGAGCTGAAGTCGGGTGCTCAATGGACTGAGCCACCCAGACACCCTTAATGTTTATTTATTTATTTTTGAGAGAGAGAGAGAGTACAGGAGGGGCAGAGAGAGAGGGAGACACAGAATGTGAAGCAGGCTCCAGGCTCTGAGCCGTCAGCACAGAGCCCGATGTGGGGCTCAAACGCATGACCCATGAAATCAGGACCTGGGCTGAAGTTGGACGCTTAACAGACTAAGCCACCCAGTCGCCCCTGGATATTTACCCTTTAAGCACAAGTGACAAAAGCAAAAATCAGCAAGCGAAACTCCATCAAGCATAAAGAAACAATCAACAAAATGAAAAGGTAGCATACAGAAGGAGAGAAAATATTTGCAAACCATAGATTTGTGTTGTAGTGTCTTGAATCAGGGTTTGGTTACTCTGTAACAGCTATTTTAATAGGATCATTCTTCACCCTGAAGACATTAAAATGCTACTTTTTTTTTTTTTTTTTTTAATCACCACTAGCGCGTACTAGGATCTCAGGAGCTAGAGGTGGGGCTGGGATGGGACGAAGGGTGGGTTACCATATGTGTCGGGAACACCTAGTGGTGAAAAGGCTGCCGGGGGCCCTCCTCTTGACATTTTCCCTCTTCTTGGCTTTTCTCTGTCAGCAGCACTCAACCCACCTGCGCTAGAAGCTTCTGCACCTCGCATCTCAAAATGTTGCCCCGCTTCTGCCCATAGCGGGATGGACTCTCCTGATTCTGGGTCTACTGAGGAAAGACCCAAGAAGGTAGACCCTAATTAGCTGCAAAGAGAGGGCCACCCAGCCTCTAGGTCATCAGCTGTGGCCAAGGCGGTGGGTGCGATGATAGGTTGTCCCTTCCAGAGTAAAAATAACAACACAGCACTTCCTCCCGGGGCTGATAATGTTCCAGACGTTTACTCGTATGAGCTTTTACTCATGACACCGGGACATCATCCATGACCGAGGTACTCTTCTGATCATCCTTATCCTAGGGATGCACAACAAAGGCACAGAAAGGTTGAGTGACATGTCCAAGGTCACATAGCCAGTAAGGTGCAAAGTTGGGATTAGCATCCAGGCAATTGACCAAAAATGACCCAAAGCTGTGCTTTGAACCACTAGTCCGTAGCTGGTCTTACCGCATGTTGGAGGGGTGAGGGACAGAGCCTGCCCCGAAGGGGGTAGATATCATGAGAAGAAGGGAAACGTAGGTGGGCAGCCTGGAACTTTACATCTCTCAGTGTGACTGGGCATCACACGAGGGTGGTACCTGCTTTGTGTGGTCATGAGATGATCATGGTCAAGGACGACGTGAGAAAACGCACAGGACAGGCAGGCAGAGGACCTGGCGGCCGGGACAACCTTGTAAGTATAGTGGTTGTGGCTTCTGCATCATCCGTACTGGTCCTAATGTCCTTCTCTCTTGGTGTTTGAATAGCCCCTTTGAAAACCCCGAGCATCCGTGCTAAGAAGAAACAGAGAGGCTCAGGTAGGGGAAGCCGTGACTGGAGGTGGTGGCCTGAACGCGGGAGCAGAGCCCCCCACCTGCCCCCCGAGGAGGAGATCACATGCCGGAGGAACATTCGAGCTTTTTGGCAAGGCCACAGCCCCCCTCCCCCACGTGGAGACTGACTTCTGAGCACGCCAACCTTGGGGACCCCGCGTTTTGTCTTTTGAGGAAGCTGAGACCCCTTAGAAGGTCATCAGGGGGCTTTGCGTGGCCCCACAGCTTGGCTGGGTGTCGGCCCCAGACTGAAGCAGGTCCCAGGGTAGTGGGACGTGATGGATGTGCTTAAATGGGAGCGAGTGAAAGCCTGGGGGCAGGGCACACCTCCCTTCGGAGGAGAAGGGAAGTTGGAAGCAGCCTGGAGTCGGCAAGCCTTCCAGAAGGGGCAGACTGCTGCCCAGACTCCCACAGCCACCCCCCTGCAGCCGCCCTCAGCCCTGCCCAGCACCACCGTCGTCTCTGAGCACACTTCGCCCCACAGGGAGGCTCTGGCCGCTGCATGCCTGAGGGATGAAAGGTAGTTTCGATGCCAGTTGAGGAAGGGAAGTGGGGAGAGGAGTCGAATATTCCTGCCAAAATTCTCCATAAGATCAAATTTCTGCTTTGCTTTTCCTTTCTTTTCTTTTCTTTTCTTTTCTTTTCTTTTCTTTTCTTTTCTTTTCTTTTCCTTTGGACTCGCTCCACGGAAACAAGTCATGAAATGGCCACGCTCACTGCTGTTGAGAAGCAGGGGCTGCGCTTCAACTTTGACCGGAGGTTAACAGAACTTCTTCCCGTTGATGGTTCCTCT